GATCTTATTTAATGTCAAAGGGTTTTCATTTGGGGTCAGCATCTGAACATCCGTTCCTGCTGCAGAGGACTTAGGCCAGCAGAGTAACCCACGTTCTGCCCTGACCTCATGTGCTAAAAGGTTTCTTGTTTATTGCTCGTTGTCTGGGACACATTTCATGGTTGACAGAGGCGTGTTTATTTTAACCAGGGCATATCTCTAACCACAAGTTGTATTTCAAACGTTTATTTATTCCTAAGTTGTTTGAAACTTGAAATGCCTCTTCCTCTACTGAAAAAAAAAAGTTATAAACCACAATTAAGCTTTCTGGCTTGTCCAAAAAGCCAATAACATAGATGAAATACATTTATTTTGCCTTAAAAGTCACACAAATATTTTGCAATGGAATTTATCAAACTCAAAAACAAAACTAAATCTAAAATTATTTTTGTTTACTTTTAATACTGAAATCTGAGACAAAAAAGAGTTAGCTGGAGGAAGATGAGAAGCTGAGAGATAAAAATTTCTGTAAATATTCTAATAAGGTTAATGGTCCCAGTTCTTTATGATACAGAACACAAAGGTTTCAACATGGCCACTAAGGATTCTCTCCAGAGTCAAGACTAGGATACGATGGGGGAGGAGATGGCAAACCTGAGTGTCCAGAGTGAACTGAAAGAGTGGAAGAGAAGGGAAAAAGAGAAAGGTGTTGAAAGGGTGGCTGCGTATCCAGGAGAGAGAGACCGCATGGAGTGGACATAGCACAGATGTAAGAGGTGAGCGAGAGAAAGACCAGAACATGACTCAAAGCAGAGACAGCAAGTAATAGAAAGCAAGGCTGGAGAAAACGGTTCCCTACCAGAGCCACAGAGAGTGAATTTGGGGTGTGACAGCGAAGGCACCTAAAAGGAGAGGCCCTGGTATAGTGAGGGAGACTGTCGTTGGTACCAGCAGGATGGCCTCACTTGTACCTGCCAGATGGTCACACACAGGTTGTTTGTACCTGAGGGAGCGCCCAGTGGCTAGACCCTGATTCTGAATCCACGTTGTCATGGAGGCCTCTGTGGCCCCTCAGGTACACGGCCCTTAGTTGGGAACTTGTGTTTATAGGTCACTCACCGCCTCTGCCGTCTCCCTCTGCGCTAACACAATCATAGCCCAGTGGATCTCATCCCTGAATTTACACCCAAGCGTCATCTCTATTACTGCATCTGTATTTAGATTCCAGACCTTCAACTGGACATATGGGTCTGTGGCTGTGTATTCAGTCTGCCCATCTTGCCCTTTTCCAAGTCAAAATGTCACCCGGGCTAAGTAAAAACGCAGTGCATTCATTCATTCAACCAAGAGTGACACTGACCATCAGGCACTGTCTCAGGTCCAGCAGTAAACACAACAGTCTGTTGGGTTCCTAGAAATCTTTGGAGCACTTCATTAGAACACGTGACACAAATAGCATAAGGGGCAAACTGGAGACTTCTCTGGCCTCTAAGACGCTCTGGTCATTTTGAAGTAAAATGCTAAACTGTGGCTGGATGGACATTAAATTTTACAAACCAAAGAGCAATGTCAATTCCAAGTCAAATCAAGAGCAGAGAACTACCCTGAACATTCTCCAGGTTGCATTCTAGAGGTAAGATAACGTGTTGCAAGAGGAAGGGGAGAGAAGCTAACAACAGAATTAATCATTTTCATACCCAAATTTCTGATAAACAAGGCCAACTTCTGCCACTCACAAAAAACATTTTCACTGAAAAGTGAAAGGAATCTTCACTCGCCACCACCCACACAGGGCCCCTGACACATACACAGGTACAGGCATCCATAGGCACAGAAGGTCACACACACAAAATACTGCTGTAGAAGGGCTCACGGGAGAAGGGAAAAATGCATCACAATGTGGTTGAAAATTACCTGTTCTTTTAAACGACGCCAGGGAACAAGACGGGCGTTTCAAAGAAATCTTCAAGTCCAGCCTCAGTGGAGGCTGACACTTGACAAATAAAAATGGCAAGTAATAGGATATATTGGAGTATATGAGGAAGCCATTTGGTGTAAACCTTGTCTTTCCAAAAGGGCCTGACCATGGCCATTGAGCATGCACTGTATATCTGCTTTAGATATTCTCTATGGCAAGAACAAAGCCCCTTGAGATACAGGTGCAACTTCCCTCCCCCTCCCAACACTGGCACTCCCTTAAGGATTAAGCATCTTTCCTTAGGCTAGGAACTCATTGCTGCACTCAGCTGTGACCACCCAGCTCGAGACAAGAGACTTGCTTCCTTGCCAAGATAGCAGACCCACTACCTGCTGTGTCCATCAAGCACTGTGCCAACAAAGCAATCTTGTCACTATTGTGGGGGGGACATTTCAATCCTTTGTGAAACATCTTGTTTGGGGGTATATAACCACTCTGTACATCTCACTTCTTCGCTGCCCTTTCTTCCTTCAGGAAGAAAGGCCCCGGGCCATGGTCCTCAGATTTTAGCTCAGAATAAACTCTCCCAAATTTTATGGATTATTTTCGTCGACACACTTCAGTTCAAAACTTAGCTCAGAACCAAGGAAAGGCATCAATATTTACCATGTCCCCTGAACCATGTGGAGAATAACACCTGGATTTGCCCTCTGGGTGTTTCCCACGGTCAGGCTCAGTGCCCAGGCACGAGCATTTCCGGGACCCAAAACCCCAGAGCAGAACACGCTGGTCTTCCCCTGGGATCAAACACCACACTGCGGAGGGGCAAATGCGGGCAGGATCTTCCCTCTGCCTCCACTCTCACATCCCTACATCGTCCAGGTTTACCTGAAATATGTTCAGAAAAATGCAGCAGTCACACTGCCCCTGATCATCTGTCTGCAAGGCAACTGCTGGATTTACCCCACTGGATAAAGCCTGTGTGGCTAAGGACCACCTCAGCAGTTGGCCTCTACTAAGCCCCACCCCAGACACAGTCAATCCATTTCTTCAGCTTTTGAAAAGCATGCTGATGTTTAACGTGAAAAAGGAATCCCATCATTGCAGCTCCTTTCTAGAAGACACATCCCTGAGCGCTCTGATGCCAACGCAAGCTCCTCTTGGAGACTTTTCCCCATGTAAGTGGGTCATTTGGGGAAGGTCTGGGGGGAGGAAGGGTATTAAAGCAGGGAAGGGAAAGAAGAGGGGATAAGAGGTTTCACTTTCAGTTCAATCATTAATGAAGAGGTTCAAAAAGACAGCAATGAGTTTTGGTGTACATTAATGTCCTACAGTATTTCATCAAAAGACATGAGGTAACTATTCGGTCTGGCAAGAAATAAACCAGAATGAAGATCTAAAAAGAAAACAAAACGATGTGAGTTAAGAATGCTTTCCAATTCAATCCGTGTTACAGCAGAAGACCCCACCTAATGGGACAGAAGGTATCCACAACTGTCCTACTAGAGGAAGCAAGTCCTAAGACACTTCTGTCTCAAACAGCCAGAGGTGCAGCAGCAGAGCGTAACAATGCTGTCAGACCAGCAGACTGCAGGTCAAAGACGGAAATGCACGTTCCAAAAGGGAGACTTGTGTGGATACCTACTGTAACGGAACGATTTAAAAGCTGAATTTAGCAACTGGAAATTTAGCAACCTTTCAGGACTATAGGCATTTAGAAATGATTCCACATTGGAGTGACATGCAGATTCAAGGTACAATTACTGACTATCTTGTAGTGTGCTAAACATGAAAGTACTGATACTAAATAAGCTAAGGTCTCGTATTAACAAAAACAAAAAAGGTGACAACAGACAAAACTAGGTTCTCATCAATATCACACGTTCAAATTCAAACAGTGATATATGATGCAAAAATGTATCTTGAGGTGCACACATTGCGTGATATGGGGCACTCACTCTTTGAGCCTTAGGCTTATTAAGTACTAAGTGAACGACACTCTCTCTTCAGGAATGTTGGTTCCTCAAAGCAGTGTAACCTCTCCACGATACCCAAAATATAGTGAAAGTGTAAATGCTTCCCAAAGGAAAAAAGATTTCAAAAATAAGAAAAGATATTCTCTCCATAGCATTGTCCAATCATTATACGTAAGTAACAATGTATTTTAGGGTAAACCATGCCTAGAAATCTACTTCCATAAATACAATAAAAATGACTGCATCTCCTTGAAGTTTTCAATTTACTTCCCCACAGACGTTGTTCCATTTGATCCTCACTACGGTTCTCCGCGATGCGCAATGGAGTTGATGTTTTAACATCATTTTAACACAGAAGAAATTGAGGTTTGGGGAGAATTAAGGCTTCAGCAATTTATAACGGGCATGAAACCAAGAACCCAGGCTTCTGACTCTCAGTCCAGCACTTCCGACCACAGATCCAGAATACAAAACAACTTCCACATTTCATAAAGTTGACTGCGGATCCTGTATCTATGATGATAAAATAGCAGAGGAATATTGGGGACTTTTATTAGCAACAAAAACCGTGTGGCCTATAGTTAAAAGAGCAGACGAAGAGTCATAAACGTTTCTTCACATTCACATAACATGCACATTGACGGAGTTTCTGAACAGCTACAAGGAAATTCCTAAATAGAGCCAAAGGAAGAGATATTTTCTAAAGGTCCTGATAAAACTTCAGGAGCTCCGCTAAATCCTACAAGCAGAATCAGTTCCCGCAAGGAAAGTCATCAGTACTGCACCCAGTTTCCCAAACGGGGTCGGGGGGGGTACCCAGTTACTCCTTTCTTAGACCAACTTTCGGGCAGGTCGTTTTCCCCTCGGAAAATCTCGTACTGTCTGGGGAGAAGGGGGTGTTTCTGAAGACCACACTGGCCCGCAGCTCGCGCCCGCCGCAGGCCCTCGGGAGCATCCGCGCGCAGGTGAGCGGGAACGCCCCCCAGGCACAGGCAGGAGGCGGGGGACGCGCGCGGACGGCGGTGCAGAGGGGCGCGGAGAGGGGCCTCCCTCCAGCCCCGGGCCCACCGCGCTTGGGGCGCACCAGCCGGGCGCCCTCCCGCCCCCGGGCCGGGCCGCCGACCTACCAGCGAGAGCACTTTGTAGGTGTTGGGGTCCTTGGCCGCGCCGGCGCGCGCCGCCTTCTCCAGCGGCTCCTCCCCCACGTCCATGGGGGCCAGCAGGGACGCGGCCGCCTGCGGGTCCCCGGGCGCCGGGGACGCGTGGCCGCGGCTCGGGTCGCGGCCGTTCCCCGCCGGGTCCTCCCGGGAGCCGCGCCCTCCCTCACAGCCGCCACCGTGGCTCCCGCCCCCCGCGCAGCCGTCGCGCTCCATCGAGACCCGGCTCGGCCCGCCGCCCCGCCGCGCCTTTAATAGGCCCAGTCGCCCGCCCCGCCCCGCCCGGCCCGGCCCCGCCCGCCGGACCCCTGGCCCCGCGCCCGCGCCCCGACCTCCGAGGGAGGGGAAAGCAACCCGACGCCCCGGATTATTTGGCTTCCTGTCTGATTTCGGGCTCCCAGCGTGTCGGTTATTTCGGGTCCTTTGCGTGGGCCCGTCTTGACCTTCCCCCCAGCCGCCCCTGCTCGCGCCCTGGGCACCGTCCGCGCACTTGCAGGAATCGCCCTGCGTGGCCTGGCGGCGCGGGCGGGACTGGAAGCGCAGAGTGTGGTCTGCACAGGCCATGACCTCATGAGGCCCCAAATAGAGCGGGCGCAGGAGGAGGATGCGGCCGCCCAGGCTGTGCAGCTTCTCGAAGGCAGGAGAGCGGGGTCAGGACAGACCCTGCGTTTCTGGATGGACATGCAAATAGCCTATAGGGTGGGCGTGGGGAAGGCGACCTTTTCTCCTACGTAGAAACAAGCGAGAGTTCCCTAAAGCCCTGCCACCCGCTGCCTACGCTGCTCTGGGAAAGGAATATCCAACCTTAAAATATCTCCCTTTATAAATACGCGCACATACGAGAGACACTGAGTTCTTCACGGTTTTATGTGGCTTTTGGGGTTTTGTCACTGCTGTCGTTTTAATTTATTTACTTAATTAGTCCTTTTAGACTCGCTGCATTGAAGGCTTCAAAGTGTCGGCCTTGCGCCGTCCTGGGGTTGACGCTGACGCTTGGTTAGCAATATCGGACAATTGAACACAGTCTGAAAGGGTCTGATACCGATGCGAGCAGTGGGCTGTAATCTTAGTGGGTTTTGATTCACCTCTGAATCTACAGCTTTTACATTTCCTTCCTCATAGAAAGACCACAAGTGTGTAGCGGAGTGCGTCTTGCCTGTCAAGGGGAGTCCAGTGACTTTTAAACAGTTCGTTGTCAACTCATTTTGATTACACGAATATATACAAATGTTTTAAAAAATGAGAATGGACTTTTAACAGATATAGTGTGTCTTGTCGTCTTTAAAATAGTCGTCTTGGAGTGCTTTCCATTTATATTGACTCATTCATTCAATAATGAATCCTTCAGTCTTTTGGCCTCCAACTAAGCATACCATCTCAAAGAGGAATAAAAGTATGTTTTTCCCAGGTGGTGCTCAGTCTGGTGGAACGGGGTGAGGGCAATAAACAAAAAATTTAGACCAAGTCATCTCTGCATAATGGAGTCACAAATAAGATATTATGACAGCTTAGTGGAAAGGGTAACTGACATCTGGAAGGAGTAAAGGCCATCCCTCAAACCATTATTGAGTCCTTTTTTTTTTTTTCAATTACCGTTGAGTCAGCTTACAAACCATCCAAGTGAAACAGGTTTTCACTATTTCCTAGTCACACATATTTTTTGCCCCAAACTTGGCTCCAGCTTTTCCTTTAACTGTTTCCAAAAATCAGATTCAAGGACAGAGATTTGCTCCACAGAGATTGATCAAATGAGTGTCAAAATTCTGAAAGCAGCTCAACGGAAACGTTCCAAAGTGGCTTTGAACCTGACAAAACAAACGCACTCAGAGTATTGTCTGCACCCCCCCGACCCCACCCACACCCAGTCGCTGTAAAGTCGCTGTAAATTCGCTGTAAAGGCTTCGCCCATTGGAAAGTCAGCGTACAGCCTGCAGGGTCACAAACTCAAACATCAGGGCGTCTCCAGGAGCATCGATGAGGGAGGCGCCCCCTGCAGGTGAACTGCGTGCCCTGTTAAAGGGCGCAGTGTTCACTTAGCACACTGAGAGCCCACTCTGGGCAGAGAGATTTCTCAAGAGAAACAGGAAATGTAGATGTTTGTGTGAATGCTCCAGATTGCAAAATTTTGTCTACAAAACTCAGAAAAGCAATTTCTTTAAACACTTAAACGGCCAAACAAAATGTAACACATCTGCAGGGTGGGCCTGGCACATGGGCCACCAGGATGTGGCCTCTGCCTTATGCTCATTCCCTCTCCTGTGCCAGCTGGGACTTTTATGGGTAACTATAAAAATCCAGTTGAAATTCTAAAACCTGAAGAATAAAAATGGCTCGAGTATGGCACTCATATTGTTTAGCTGTGCACTCAGCAATGCGTGTGGAAGTCGTGCCTGGTCTTGTCTATATTCCAGTCTGAGGGACAGCTCCAAGCTCCAAAGGACAATAAAGTTATGAGACATGCAACTGCTACACAACTTCTCTGATTCGTGCAAAGGTGAACAACGAGTTTTTCATCCTTAGTCCTAAACCCCTCTGTGTTAGCGATGGAGGGTCCTGCTCTAGCACGCAGTAAAGATGATAGTTTAAGGTTTTACAGGATTCCTCAAGTTTTACTAAACAGAGAGATTTAAACCTTTCTCCCTTGGGGCCTGAAAGTTTGCATGTAGATGAGACCAAAACACTAAACAAAACCCACTTATGTGTGTTGGAACTATGACTTCTCATACTTGAGAAACAACTCCTCTCGGCTTTTACAAAGTGAGATATGCTGTGGAGTAATTATCTTGGCAGCTGCTTGCTCCAGAGCCTCTCCAGCTCCCTCCCAGTGCCCAGTACAACACCACAGACATCTAGCCCAGTCTAAAAAGAGGAAAACCACATGGCTCTTTAATGTTTACGAGACTTAGAAAAAAAATTTTCCTTGGCGTTATTTTTAAGACTTTGTATGACATCCTGATTTCTCTTTCTTTTGAGTAAGCAGAAAAACACGCCTTCTGGAAGAAGCTTGGCTAACTACGTGACCTTGTACAGATTACGAGAACTGAGTTCCTCTGAGTCTTGGGTTCCTCGTTAATAAAATGGTGTTACAAATAATACCATAAAATTACACTACTGTCTCTAAATGCCAACAAAATGTTTAACATTTCTACAACTTTATGTACAAGTTTAAATTTATCCATTTAATATTTAAATCACCTATTCTCAACCCTAAGAAAGAAATAAAACAATTTAATTTTTGCAAAAGTTATGCATGGTCTATACATAATTTCTGGGAAGGTTTGAGAACTGCCGTTGGATATGCATCTGCAAAGGGAGTGCCGTGGGGTCGAGAAGGGACACTTATCCCTGGGACGGAAGAGAGACGCCTTGTTATCAGTCATGTAACAAAATCAGTGAAGGGAACCCAGAAGTGTAGCATGCAGCTGAGAGTAATGAGACTGTGGGAAAATGTAAAGTGCAGGCCCACTCTAAAGGGAGCCGCTGCCCCATCCTTGACTTCTTGGTAAACCACAGTCTGTGCTGCTCCCCATTGTCTCTTTTACCTCATTTTGCACAAGACCTAAGGTTGCCAATAATCTGAATGGATGCCTGCCACTTTGCTGTTTGTTTTCTATATGCCTCAAGTCTTTTTTTTTTTTTTGTCCTTCCATTCCTCCTTCACACATTTAAATTTGTGCTAAAATATTTTTATTAAAACATGTTAATTCCACTATTGAGTTTTAGCTTTTTTAAAATGTGATTTTCTTAGTAGTTGCTCTAGAGGTTAGAATATGCATCTTGAACTTACCATCTACTTCAGATTAATGCTGAAAATTCTGGTAAAGCATAGCATTTTTTTCTATATTGTATCTCTACTTCTTCATCCCTCTCCTGCTATATTGTTATATATGTGTGTGTGTGTGTGTGTATATATATATATATATATATATCATCCAAATGTTATATAAAGACAATGACGCAGTGTTACATTCATTGTTTTAAACAGCCTTGTGTTTTTCTTTTTTTTTTGAGGAAGATTAGCCCTCAGCTAACTACTGCCAGTCCTCCTCTTTTTGCTGAGGAAGCCTGGCCCTAAGCTAACATCTGTGCCCATCTTCCTCTACTTTATATGTGGGATGCTTACCACAGTATGGCATGCCAAGTGGTGCCATGTCCGCACCCGGGATCTGAACCAGCGAACCCCGGGCCGCCAAGAAGCAGGACGTGCGAACTTAACTGCTGCGCCACCGGGCCGGCCCCGACCTTGTGTTTTTCTAAGAACAGGGTACACACACACACTGATGGTTTTTTCCTGAATATGAGTCACACTTTTTGTTTCTTTGCATATATTATAATTTCTGGCTGAAAATTGGATTTTTAGAGACTGACATCAGCATCATGGAGAAGCACGTCGTTCCCTCAGTCTCTTTCCTTTAAGTTACAACTGAATGGACATTCATTAACCAGCAGAGGACTCCCTGCACGGCACAGCAGGACTTCTGAGAGATCCATGCAGCTGTGCATCTGAAGGTGGGTGGACTAGATGCCCAGGAGGGAGTGGAACTAGATAAGTGCACCCTTCCTGCTCCCCAGTATCAGCGAGCCAGTTCTTGAATCCTCACACAGCAGGCCCCCACAACTCTTAGAGGATGTGGGGACAGCCTGGCCTGCATGAAAGCTCTCAGAGTTGCAGCCCAGCCCATGGGAGCACCCAATGCGCTGTGGTCGCCCCACCTGTGGGAATGCTCTCCACTTAGTGGCAAGCTCGGCCCCTGTGTAGGTGCCTCTTTCCCCTAGCACAGCACAGGTGAGAAGGTGCCCCACCCACTCAAATGATGCCCCCACCCATGGAACACAGCAGCCCTTAGGGATCTACAAAGTGGTGGCTCAGCTCCTGTGTGGGTGCTCCCCACCCTTAGCACAGCGCAGGTGAGAAGGCACCCTATCTTCTCAAAAGACACCCTGCCTGTGGAGCACAGCAACCCATGGGGACCACTGAGTGGTGATTCAGCCCCTGCATAGGCACCCCTCCCACCTAGCGTGGAGCAGCTCAGCCAGCCCCCTGCTGAGCACAGAGGCCTGCCCACAGTGCCCTAACTGCCTGCCCAGTGCAGAGGCCCGGCCCACCTGACCATAACCTGAAGAATGACTGCCATCAGCCCAGGCAAATGCAGAGCAGCCCTAACCTCACAACTTCCAGCAGATGGGATGGGATAAGAAAACACAGCTCCTGCTGGCTCCCCA